CCTGTGGATGTGCGTTTTCAGACTGCCTCTTGCACCCCAAGAAGGCCAATCACAAAAAATATACCTTGGTTTTGACACAGGATTTTTTCTTGGTCACTTTGCAAGCCAGGGACCTCTGGCCAGCAATCCCCACTGGGGCCTCTCTCGGCCCACCCTGGCTGAGTCTGGCTCGTGCACCAGTTCCCAAGTTCTCGTCCCGCACCCAAAAAGAGTGAGGATATACTGAAAATTGACGAGTGAGCAAGCTGGAGAGTTTTACTGAGTGATGAAACAGCTTTCGGTGGAGAGGCAACGCGTGGGTGGCCCCCCCCCATCCAAAGGCGGGAAAGTTTCTCCACTGTGGCCGAGTCTGGGCTTTTAAGGGCTTAGAATGGGGGAGGGGCAGGCAGTAGGTAGTGTTGGAAAAGGCAACATTCGACTGGTTAAAAAGCATTATTCAGAAAGAATCTGTTGGGAAAGGGTGGGCAAACAGGAACAGATGTTCTCACTCTGGGTCGGGGGTTTCATCCAGGACCAGCAGTCTGGTCTTTCAGCCTTCAGGCTGGGTTTTGGCTTGAAGGTGGAGTTTCACTGGGGACCTGCCCCTGTCTGCCTGGGCATGTGGCTGCCTCCTGTCGCTCTCAGTGTCTTCCCTAACTCTCATTCCGGCCCCCTGCCTTATCTAAGGGACTTAGCTTCAGTGGCGATGAGCTTAAGCTCTCCCAGCTCTCTACCCATTGCTAGGTGACATCAGAGCAGGACCCACATCTTTTCTCCTTGGCAATTAGCACCTAGCACTGTGAACCTTTGTTGAGTCCAAGGGACCTAAATTTCACAGCTCATAGTAGGCCTGGTTCAAATACAAGGAGTTGGAGAAAATCGCATGCACCAGAATCCCAGAGAGGATGGGGGCTTGTGGAGGGGTGGGACGTGGCAGCTAAACTGACCAGTCCTCCATGAGCAAAGCGGGTAGGACAGAACACAAGCTCCAGTCCTTAGGGGAAGCAGTTTTTGGGGCAAGAGGGCAAAGCATAGCATCTGGCAATGGAGGAGGTGTGGAGCCGGGAAGAAGCCAGATGGGCCAGAAAGGACTGGCAAGGTGTGGCACCAGGGAAGAAGCAACAAAGCGAACTGGGTTTTATTTGGTTGTTGCTGCCTGGCATCTGGTCAGGATGGTCTCCCTATGGCCCTGGGATGCTACCAGCTCCTTCTGACTATGGGCCTGGATTCTCTAATGTGGCCCTGAAGAAGGGCTGGTTAGGGTGAGGCTCAAGGCAGTGCCTGGTGACAGCCACATCTGGGCTGCTAGGAGGTCCCACACTGTTCTACATTTAAGGCAAAGATTCTTTTCCTTTAAGGCTCTAAAATTCTTAAAGCTTAGATTCCAAAATCCCATGGGAAAGAAGGCAAGTATTTGGCTTGACACAGAACTACTCAAATTCCTATCTTGTGCTGTGCAGAACTCAAGGGCTACTGTTTAGGGACCAGGCAAATTTGCAGAGAGGTCAGAAAGTCTTCTGAATTAAGGGGGAAGAAGTCAGCTGGGTGTGGTGGGTCACACCTGTAATCCCAGCACTTTGGGAGGCCGAGGAGGGCAGATCACCTGAAGTCAGGAGTTTGAGACCAGCCTGGCTGACATGGTGAAACCCCGTCTCTACTAAAAATACAAAAATTAGCCAGGTGTGGTGGTGGGCACCTGTAATCCCAGCTACTCAGGAGGCTGAGACAGGAGAATTGCTTCAACCTGGGAGGCAGAGGTTGCAGTGAGCCAAGATCGCGCCACTGCACTCCAGCCTGGGCGACAGAGTGAGACTCTATCTCCAAAAAAAAAAAAAAAAAAATAGGAAAAGAAAAAAAAAAATAGAGGGAAGAAGTCCCTTTGCTCCTTCCCTGTAGATGACCAGAAGCAGGAGTCTTGCATCGATGCTGAGTTGGACAAGGCTCCTATGACCCCTACAAGCAGCTTGTCCCCAGAGATCTGTACCACTGACCTGTGCTCAGAGTGCCATGGAGCGGGGAGCACGCATGACAAGAAGGGGCCTAGCAGGCATCTGTCCTTGACGACAGGTGTTATGGGATGATCTTAGGTTATTTTATTAAGGCAAGAACATACCTCTTTTATTTCCCATTCCGGACCAGCCCTGAATGCAGATGATGACATCAGATGAGCTTCTTTTCTCTTAGAAGTTCTTCAAACCAGTATTGACATGGCCTGTAGTAATCCCCTAAGGTGTGGACATGAATTCTGATTCGCACAGAAAAGCAAAGCTCTGGGGCTGAATGGCACTGGCGTGATGTCTGAGAAGAAGAGAGAATCTTCTAGCAAGGATAAGCTGAGGGCTGGGAGTCCTATGAACTTGATTACAGAGACATTTGCCTTTATTTAGAGCTCAGGCCACAATGAACAGTGCAACAGCAGTAGCCATCTCTGCTGATCTTACTATGGGTTCTGTGATCATTGCTTTATGTGCTCAGGTTAATCCTTTTATTATTTCTTTCTTTATTTATTTATTGAGACAGAGTTTCGCTCTTGTTGCCCAGGCTGGAGTGCAATGGCGCAATCTCGGCTCAGTGCAATCTCGGCTCACCACAACCTCCACCTCCCAGGTTCAAGCGATTCTCCTGCCTCCGCCTCCCGAGTAGCTGGGATCACAGGCATGCGCCACCACGCTTGGCTGATTTTGTATTTTTAGTAGAGATGGGGTTTCACCATGTTGGTCAGACTGGTCTCGAACTCCCAACCTCAGGTGATCCGCCCACCTCAGCCTCCCAAAGTGTTGGAATTACAGGTGTGAGCCACCGTGCCCAGCCGGTTAATCCTTTTAATAACTCTATAAGGTCAGTCTGCCATTGTCTTGTTTTACCAATGAGAGGAGTGAGGCTTGGAGAAGAAAAATGTGCCCAAGACTAAACGCTTAGCAAATGTTGGAGCTGGGGCCTGAGCCCAGGCAGACTGGGTTTCGAAGCCAGAATCCTAACCGTTCTGCCCTGTAGCCTCTAAGAGCCAAGGATTTGGAATCATAATTAATCAGTTTAAATTTTATGCAGTGTTCTCTGGTTCTCATCAAAGAGAGCAGGAAGCATCTCCGGAGAAGAGAGTGACCCGGAGGGCAGGGGGACCTCAGTCCTCTCACCATTCTCATTGTGTCTGGGGCCGAGTCTGGCCTCTGCAGAGCAGTGGATGAGAGCAGCAGCTCTGATTAGGATGTGACATGGCCTATTCACCAGAGTGAGGCCTGCACGCCAGCCGGGGTCCCAGGCACCAAGCCAACCAGGAAGGGAAACTCCCTCCCATGGTGACATTCCCAGTTACTCTTGAGTCCAGACAGTCTCCAGATGTTTTTTTCACTGAACACGTTCCCAGAGAGTCTCGAAAACCCGGGGCAGTGCGGGGCTGGAGGCAGAGCACTGGTCCAGCATCGAGAGAGCAGGGAAGTCCTTTGGCTGCCCAAATGTACCGTGGATCCTGAGCAAATCCATTCTGCTCTGAGCCTGCATTTTCCCATTTACAGTGAGTTGAAGAGTGATCCCAAAACATGACGTCCAAGTCCTAATCCCCCTCACCTGTGAATGTGAGCTTATTTGGAAACAGGGTCTTTGCTGATGTAATTAAGGATCTTGAGATGGAATCATCCCTGATTTAAAAACAAATCCAATGACAGTGTCCTTAAAAGAGACAGAAGCCGGGCTCGGTGGCTCAAGCCTGTAATCCCAGCACTTTGGGAGGCCGAGACGGGCGGATCACAAGGTCAGGAGATCGAGACCAGCCTGACTAACACGGTGAAACCGCGTCTCTACTAAAAAAATACAAAAAACTAGCCAGGCGAGGTGGTGGGCGCCTGTAGTCCCAGCTACTCGGGAGGCTGAGGCAGGAGAATGGCGTAGACCCGGGAAGCGGAGCTTGCAGTGAGCTGAGATCCGGCCACTGCACTCCAGCCTGGGTGACAGAGCAAGACTCCGTCTCAAAAAAAAAAAAAAAAAAAAAAAGAGAGACAGAAAAGGAGAGCACACAGAGACACACAGGGAGGAGGGCTATGTGAAGATGGGGGCAGAGCCTAAAGCGACGCAGCTGCAAGCCAAGAATTGCCAGCAGCCACCAAACACTAAGGGAGGCTTGGAACACGTTCTCCCTTGGAGCCCCCAGCAGAGTCAACCCTACCATACCTTGATTTCAGACTTTCGGCTTCCACACCTACGAGAAAATAAATCTCTGTTGTTCTAAGCCGTGAAGCGCAGTCCTTTGTTACAGTGGCCCTGGTAAACTAATGCGCTATCTCTGAGAGCATTGATGGGGTCAGGAAGCTCCCTGTTGGGTAGAGGAGCAACTAAGATACTGAACTTGGCCCCCACCCTGAGGCTCACGGGTGAGTGGAAAAGCCAAAACCTGCCCAAAATCGCTCATTTCCAGCTCCAGCATGATGCACCTTCTGCACCTAACCCCAGGCTTCCCAGGCTGGAGTGGGCTCTCAGTCTTGGGGAGTGGACCGGCTGCCTTAGGGTGGGATGGGAGGATGGAAACTCAAACCTAGGGAAGGATGAGCCCCTCAGGAACTGCAGGGGACAGAGCAGGGTGGGTGGGATGTGAGCTCTGGCAGGGCCACCCCCAGGAAGCTAGGATCTCCCACTGGGACAGGGAGCCAGTGTTAAGATTCTATCTGAGCCAGCATCTTTTCTAGGGACTACATTGGCTCTGCAGAGGGGCCTCTGGACCCAGGGGTTTCAGCTTGGGGGGTGCCCTGGTGAGAGCAAGGGCTGCTGACAGCAAAGCCTAGCCGCATGCAAAGTGCTTTGCAGGACTCGGAGGAGGGAATTAAGAACTCTTGGGAACAAGGAGCCGCACCGACCAGTCAGGTGAGGTCGCAGCAGGATCGTCAGAGTCTCCGGTTCTTCACCTGAAAATGCACATAGCAAACCTTGCCTTACAAGGGCTTTATGAAATGAAATGAGCTGCTGTGTGCACAAAGCGATTACTGTACCATTTGGCCAAAGCTTTATTATCGAAAACATTGCTTTCCTTACAGGCTTGAATTGTACCTGAGTTCCAAAGGAGAAGCTGACATTCCTTCCTTCCAGAACATATGCCCAGTGTCTTCAACTTGAGATGGAGCTGGGATGCCAATTCTGCAAACGTGGGCTTTGGGCTTGGACAAGCCTAGGTTTGCATCCCAGCTCTGCCCTTTGCTGTGACTGTGGCCCTGGGAAAAACGAACCTCTCTGAACTTTCCTGACGGCACTCATGAGTGGGAGACAGTATCATGTCAGGGTGTGATCATGCACGCTGCACAGAGTCGGTGTTTAATGATGTTTCTGAATAACAAATGATTTAAAATAAAGGCAGCTGTGCGAAGCAGTGAGAACTGATAGTAAATGTGGCCGGGGCACAGATAGCAGGCAGTTGGGAGGGAGGGAAGAGGGTCTGCTTCGTGAGGGGTAATCAGGGAAGCTATATTAGCAGGAATTTTTTTTTTTTTCACTCTTGTTGCCCAGGCTGGAGTGCAATGGTGTGATCTCAGCTCACTGCAACCTCCGCCTCCCGGGTTCAAGCAATTCTCCTGCCTCAGCTTCCTGAGTAGCTGGGATTACAGGCATGCGCCATCACACCCGGCTAATTTTGTATTTTTAGTGGAGACAAGGGTTCTCCATGTTGGTCAGGCTGGTCTTGAACTCCCAACCTCAGGTGATCTGCCCGCCTTGGCCTCCCAAAGTGCTAAGATTACAGGTGTGAGCTACACACCCAGCCGGTAGGAATGTTTTGATTGCAAATGACAGAAATCACTTCTGGCTCATGGAATGTGACAGTATCTTGAATGAGCAAGACATACTTTTACCTCAGGGCCTTTCTTTCTATTTGGTGTTCCCTCTGTTGACATGCTTTCTCCAGCACCCCCCAAGGTATTTCTGTAGTTCTGTCCTTTATCTCTTTGAATCTTTATCAAATATCTCCTGTATCTCACTGAATCTTTATCAAATCTTTATCAAACACATTTAAATTAAATTTTAAAGTACATTTTAAGCCAGAAGTAGTGGCTCACTCCTGTAATCTTAGCACTTTGAGAGGTCTGAGGCAGCTGGATTACTTGAGCACAGGAGTTAAAATTCAGCCTGGGCAACATGGTGAAACCCTGTCTCTATAAAAAATACAAAAATTAGCTGGGCGTTTCCTCTCCTGTAAAGCGGGTAATAACGAGTATGTACCTCCTAGGGTTGTTGTAAGGATTTCATGCGTGCACAACCTGGCTGGTAGCAAACCTGGAGAAAGGATGGATCATTACACAAGTGGGATGCTGGGTAGCCCCAATGTCCTTCGAACCCACCCCGCCCACCCCGCCCCAACACATAAGGTTCAAAGGTCAACCAGGAGACCAGTGAGTGAATGCAGGGATCCCGCCTCGACTCGCTCCTCTGTGTCTTCCTCCCGCTCTTCCCTCCTCCCAGGACCTGAAGGGTTTTCTGTCCCTTCCTTGAGGGTCTGCAAGGACTCTCCCCTACCTTATATCCTGCCCTTTCCAAGGGATCATTTGCCCTCCTGACTCTCCTTGAGCTATAATGACGGAATAGTGGCAAGGGTGTGAGGTGGGGTGGGGGGTGGGGATGGGAGTGGGGGGTGAAGAGGTGGGGAGAGAGGTCAGAGTGGGGGTGGGAGTAAGGAGGTGGGGGGTGGGGAGGCGGGGAGTGGGGTTGGGGAGGTAGGGTCGCGAGGTGAGGTCAGGAGGTGGGGACATAGGGGTGGGGGTGGCAGAAGTGGGGGTGGGAGTGGGGGTGTGAGGTGGGGTGAGGAGGTAGGAGGTGGAAGTGGGGGTGGGGTGGGGAGATGGAGAGGTGGGGGGTGAGGGAGGTGGGGGGTTGGGATGGGGAGGTGAATGAGGTGGGGTGGGGGTGGGGAGGTGGGGAAGTGGTGAAGTGGAGAGGTGGGGTGGTGAGGAGGGGTGGAGGGTGGGGTGGGGAGGTGGGTGGGAGGTGGAGAGGTGGGGGTGGGGAGGTGGGGAGGTGAGTGGAGAGGTGGAGAAGATGGGGGGTGAAGGAGGTGGGTTGGGGGTGGGGAGGTGGATGGAGGTGGAAGTGGGAGGTGAGAGGTGGGGGGTGGGGGGGAGGTGGGGGTGGGAGGTGGGGAGGTGGGTGGAGGTGGGAAGTGGGTGGAGGTGGAGATGGGGGTGAGGAGGAGTGGAGAGGTGGGAGGTGGGAGGTGAGTGGAGGTACAGAGGTGGGGGTGAGGTGGGGAGGGTGAGTGGAGGTGGAGAGATGGGGTGAGAGGTGGGTGGGGAGGTGAGTGGAGGTGGAGAGATGGGGGTGAGGAGGTGGATGGAGGTGGAGAGGTGATGGTGAGGAGGTGGGGGGCGGGGGTGGGGAGGTGTGTGGAGGTGGAGAGGTGGGGGTGAGGGGGTGGGGGTTGAGGTGGGGAGGTGGATGGAGGTGGAGAGGTAGGGGTGAGGAGGTGGGGGGCGGGGGTGGGGAGGTGGAGAGGTGGGGGTGAGGAGGTGGGGGGCTGGGGTGGAGAAGTGGATGGAGGTGGAGAGGTGGGGGTGAGGAGGTGGGGGGCGGGGAGGTGGGTGGAGGTGGAGAGGTGGGGGTGAGGAGGTGGGGGGCGGGGGTGGGGAGCTGGAGAGGTGGGGGTGAGGAGGTGGGGGCAGGAGTGGGCAGGTGGATGGAGGTGGAGAGGTAGGGGTGAGGAGGTGGGGGGTGGGGTGGGGAGGTGGGTGGAGGTGGAGAGGTGGGGGTGAGGAAGTGGGGGGTGGGGTGGGGAGGTCGGTGGAGTTGGAGAGGTGGGGGTGAGGAGATGGAGGGGTTGGGGTGGGGAGGCGATTTAAAACTTTATTTAAAACTTTAAAAATCATTATCCAGTTCACAATGACAATCATGAGCAGGGCTACAAAGGCGCAGTGAAGGTCCCGAGAACAGGTAAGGGGATGATGGGCCTGATCTTGTGAGTGAGGGAGGCTGCCCTGCAGGAAGAGGGCAAGGTCCAGGGACAGCTGGGCAACGGAGGCCAGAGGGCAGCTCTTGGAGATTTGGGCCGAACTGGCCCCGTGTGATCCTGCTGTCAGGGTTGGAAGCCTGGGGTGCTGCCCAACAGTGCACAGTGGGGTTCCTGGGACCACACAGAGCACAGGCTCCCCCATCTCTGAACTAGGAAGGCCAAAGATCCCCCAGCGAGGCAAATCCCAGCTACCACATAAGACACACAACTGTCTTTTGGCTTCCCCTGCGGGGTCGTGGTAACTAATTTTAACTGACCCTGATGATTCATCCAGGATGCCTGGGAACCCCCACCCCAGCCCACAACCACAGCCACTCCTCAGGGCCTGCTGAAAGCTGCCAACATTCTTCAAGTTCAAAGTCATTCCCCATGCCCTCCAAGCCCACATTCCAACTGCCTCCACGACCCATCCGCTTCACAAAACTTCTGACCTGGCCAAACTGGTCTTCTCTGGGTTTTCTGAACATTCCACGTGCGTTCCTGCTTCTTTAGCTTTGCTCTTACCACCTTTCTTGCCTCTATTGTGCCATCAACCCTCTCCCCAGCCCCTGGCACCTGCCCCAGCGTCTGTGTATCTGATCAGTGGTGATAAAACACTCACTTGAAAAAGTATTGAGCACCTATTATGAGCTGTGTGGAGTATTAGGGTGCATTCTTTATATAAATATTATTGTCAGCTTCCCTTTCTCATATTTCCACTAGATTATTATTATTATCTTGGGCCGTGACTGGGCAGGCAATGCTGTACGGTCACCAAGCCCGGTTTCATTTCCTTCTGGGCACAGAGAGAAACGTTATTCCCACAGCTCCCTCCAAGTAAGCGGTGCCTGAGGCTGTGATCTGGCTAATGGAATTTGGGCAGAAGCAATGAGCACCACTTTCAGGCATACCCCCTAAAAGATTCTCCACTCCCCCTCTTTTTTTTTTTTTTTTTGGAGATGGAGTTTCGCTCTTGTCACCCAGGCTGGAGTGCAATGGCATGATCTCGGCTCACTGCAACCTCCGCCTCCCGGGTTCAAGTGATTCTCCTGCCTCAACCTCCCTAGTAGCTGGGATTACAGGCGCCCACCACCATGTCAGGCTTATTTTTGTATTTATAGTAGAGACAGGGTTTCACCGTGTTGGCCAGGTTGGTCTCGAACTCCTGACTTCAGGTGATCCACCCACCTCTGCCTCCCAAAGTGCTGGGATTTCAGGCTTGAGCCACAGTGCCCGGCCCACCCTCATTTCTTTCTCCAGTGGTTTGCCTACTGGATGCAGAGGGATGGGGGTCTTGGAAGTCCTTGGGGAGGAAGCCTGAGTGCCTGAATCACTGGGTGTAGGAGAGCCCTGTTCTCAACTTGCATTGGACTGGGAGGTAAATGAGAACTAAATCTTTTGAGTCACGGTTAAGGACATCATGAGATTTAGGGACTGTTTGTTACAGCCGCTAGTATGCTAACACACCAGTGTAGGCAGCCATATTTGTATTTCTGTCCTCACCCAAGCCTGGTACATAAGAAGCCCTTAGTAGTCCTCCTCATCTCCCATGAGGCTTCCCTCTCATCCACCCTCCAGATGCAGGCCTGACCCTGTCGTCCCCTCTAGGAAGTTTTCTTCTCCACCTCCTCTTCCTCTTCCCAATTCTGAAATGCTGTTGACCCCCGAAAGGGTCCTTCTCTTCCTCCCTCACAGTCTCCCCAGGTGAAGTCTGCTGCCTCCTGGATGCTGACACTTCCCATAGCTTAGGCTGTAACCCTGTGCCCGATGGGGTAAACTGAGGCTTCTCCAAATTGCCAGATAAATTTAGGATGTTTTGTGATGCAACTCTGGAAGGGGAACCCAATCCTGTCTCAGCAGAATAAGGATGGGGCATTGATTCCCAAGAAATGAGTCCCAGTCACACAAATGGGAAGAACAGGAATAGCTCCCGAGGACCAAATGGGCTTTTTTTTTTTTTTTGAGACAGAGTCTCCCTCTGTTGCCCAGACTGGAGTGCAGTGGCGCGATCTCGGCTCACTGCAAACTCCGCCTTCCAGTTTCAAGCAATTCTCCTGCCTCAGCCTCCCGAGTAGCTGAGACTATAGGCGCTCGCCACCACGCCTGGCTAATTTTTTTGTTTTTTGTATTTTTAGTAGAGATGGGTTTTCACCGTGTTAGCCAGGATGATTTCAATCTCCTGACCTTGGGATCCACCCGCCTCGGCCTCCCAAAGTGCTGGGACTACAGGCATGAGCCACAAATGGGCTTTTAAAGAAGAAATGACTCTGCTGTGGGCTGTGTTTGATTTGAGAGAGAAGAGCGAAAACCAGCTGCACCCTAGGGTGACTGTGGTTTCATTTTTCCTCTCTGCTTCTCCTGCCCCCTCCCTGGGGCGCCCGCCCTCGTGCAGGGCTGACGCCGATGCCTCCTTCCTGGGGGAGCCCGGGTTTGATTGTTTTTCAAGGGAATGGGGGAGGTGTTGGGATAGGGATGGGCGGTGCCTGGGGAGAGAGAATGTGTGTGGCTGCAGGATGCTGGGGAGGGAAGAAGGAAGGAG